TGTCACAGATGTCCAGCATGCCCTGCCTGCCTCAGCGAACAATGGGGGTTTTGTTGACTTGATGCAGAACTTGGCCAGAGCGTTAGGTATACAGTCAACATCGGACCAACCCCCTGTCGCAGACTTAGTGCATGATATGCTCCAGGCGGCTAGGCCTGCCCCTTTTGTGTTACCGACGCTTCCTGTACATATGACTACTCTGCAGGAAGCCTGGAGTAGACTGCCTTTGATACCACCTATCCCTAAGAGATATGAGACAATGTACAGGGTGCGTGGAGATAACGACTGCTTCCTACAGTCCCAGCCGGAACCGAATTCTACAGTAGTACATTCTTCGTCCAAGATGAAGCAATCCCACTACCTGGCTCCGCTCAACAGAGAGGGACGGAAGGTGGACTCCATGGCAAAACGAATCTATGCGGCCACATCGATTGCCACAAAAATGCAGATGTACATTTCTTATATGTCAGCGTATATGTTTAACCTTTCTAATACAATCGAGGCCCACCTGGACCCAGTTCCCCGTGGAAAGTAGAGTGGTGACTTTGGGTGCGATCCAGGAATCGCGTAGAGTTGCGAGGCAGCAGGTAGCGATAGTGTGACATTCCGTCTCCTGTTTCTCTCGAGTTATGGCTACCGCGGTGGCTCTACACAGGCATGCATGGCTCAAGTCGACAATGCTCCAAACGGATGTCAAGCAAAGAATTGAAGATCTTCCATTTGATGGCTGCGGCCTGTTTCATAAGTCCACTGATGATGCACTCAGAGACGGGGACGAGAGCCGCAAGCGCGCTCGGAACTTGGGACTATATGTGCCCTACCACCAGCGGCCTCAAAAGCAAAGGCCGTGGAGGCCGCAGTATGTCCGTCGCCCCCGGTCTCAAACCTAACCAGAGACCTGGAGACGCTGGCCATATGCGTCTAAACAGCAGTACCAGTAGAGACCGAGGGCTGCACCCACCAAGAGGGCCACTTAGCAGCCTAAGCAGTCCTTTTGACGGTGTGGGGGCCATGGCCAGGTGCACCATCGGTACTGGCAGCTTACGGCCAGGCACTCGGCTCCGGCCCTACAACAGTTTGTGGGAACAAATCAAAAACGATCACTGGGTCTTGACTATTATAAGGATTGGTTATGCAATAGAATTCGATTCGTGCCCAGACACCCCCCATGTAGTGACTACGCCACCGACAGCTGTTGTGGGAGGAGGTTGCGAACCTCGTGAGAAAAGGCACCGTGCCATCAACTCAGTGAGGACAGGGCTACTACTCAAGGTACTTCCTGGTCCCAAAAAGAGATGGGTCCAAGAGGCCCATTCTGGACTTGAGAGGGCTGAACCGATACATCAGAAGAAGGAAGTTCCGCATGGTGACGCTCCAGTCTACCCTGGCGTTAGTCACTCGGAATGCGTGGACGGCATCAATAGACCTGAAGGATGCCTACTTCCATATCACAATACACCCGCAGCATCGTCAGTACCTGCGTTTCCAGGTAGGACAACGACATTTCCAGTACGGGGCACTCCCATTTGGCCTCTCGACGGCATCACGCGTCTTCACCAAGTGCATGGCCGTAGTGGTTGCTTACCTGCGAGTGAAGGGAATGTTGGTGTTTCCTTACATCAACGACTGGCTCCTGGTCACTCCCACACAGGGGGAACTACGACGGAATGTCGTGGAGACTTTGAGCCTGCTCGGCTGTTTAGGCCTGTGTGTGAATCTGGAAAAATCACATCTACTGCCATTGCAACAACTTGAGTTCATAGGTGCGATTCTGGATTCTACGGTGTCCATGGCCTTCCTTCCAAAGACCAGGGCTATAACTATTCAGAGCCTGGCTTCGGACTGCATTACTCGCCCAGCCCAGACAGCGGGGGTGGTCCAGAGGATGTTAGGACTGATGGCGGCTACAACGGCTGTCATGCCGGTGGCACGGCTCAAAATGTGCATCCTGCAGCTTTGGTTCCTCCGCTTCACAAACATTCATTATCCCAGCTGCCGTAACGAAATCTCTCCGCTGGTGGACCGACATGCCCAACCTACTACAGCCTTTTCAACAGCGCCCTATGGACCTAACTGTCTTTACAGATGCCTCCCTGTCGGGGTGGGGCACACACTGTGGGGAACTGTTGGTCCAGGGCCAGTGGCCAGAGACCCAGAGAAACTGTCACATCAATATCCTGGAACTAAGGGCAGTCAGCCACGCCTTGCGTTCCCTCGTGCCTATCCTGCAGGACCAGTCGGTGTTGATTGCTACAGACAATGTAACAGCAATGTATTACATCCTGAAGCAGGGTGGGACAGCCTCAGCTCACCTGTGCAAGTTGGCCATGGAGTTATGGGAATGGTGTCTACAGCAGAATATCTGGCTCAGTGCAATGCATGTGCCAGGTAAGGACAACATCCAGGCAGACGATCTGAGCCGGAGGGCATCGAAGCACCACGAATGGTCACTAAAGTGGGACTGCCTGGAAGGGGTGTTCAGCCAGTTTCGACAGCCAATGCTGGATGCTTTCGCATCAACAGACAATGCAAAGTTTCCTCTCTTTTACACCAGGGGCCGCCCATTCGGCAAGTCGTTGGGGAAAGCGTTTCTGCACGAATGGCGAGGTCGTCTTTTCTACATGTTCCCTCCAATACCGCTGAAGATAGCGCAAGACTGCATTTCTGCTATTTTCATTACGCCGTGGTGGCCGAGGCAACCGTGGTTTCCGATTCTCCTGGAACTGTCGAGACAGCAGTACAGACCCATACCATTCATTCAGGATGTGCTCTCACAGGAGAACGGTCGGATTGTTCACCACAACCTGGCATTTTTCAAGCTAACAGCGTGGAATATCCGGCCGTGACCGTGTCACCAACAGTGTCGTTCATCCTCCTGAATGCGAGGAAATCATCCATGAGGAAATCCTATAGCTATAAGTGGGCGCGCTTTGCCGCTTTTGTAAGGGAGCGAGCCATAGATCCAAAAATGGCTCCGTTAACTGTAATACTATCATACTTGGCGAAGTTGTTTAGGGACGGGCTGAGTTACTCGTCCATAAGGGTACACCTGGTGGCCATTTCCGTGTCCCATGACCCTATTGAAGGGAAGTCAGTTTTTTCCCAACCAATGGCCAGGGCTTTCCTAAGGGGGTTGTTGCACCTGAATCCCCCACTAAGGCAGTATGTCCCCTCTTGGAGTCTGTCCTTAGTTCCGGCAAAGCTCATGGGACGACCCTTTGAGCCATTGGCGACGGCCCCTATGTGGTTGGTTTCAGGGAAGACAGCGCTCTTAGTGGCGCTCACCTCGGCATGGAGAGTAAGTGAGATTTGTGCCTTGAGGTGTGACTCCCCGTACTTAGTCTTCTACGCAGACCGGGTTGTTATGAGGCCAGACCCTGCGTTTCTCCCGAAAGTGGTGTCTCCGTTCCATTTGTCCCAGCCTATCACGTTGCCGACCTTTTTCCAAGAACCTAAAGACGAGGGTCAAAGGGCCCTCCACACTCTGGATGTGCGTAGGGCCCTAGCATTTTATTTGTCTAGGACGCAAAACACTATAAGGAGCAATCGGTTGTTCCTCTGTTATTCCAAGCCCAAACGGGGACAACCAGTTTCCACACAATGGCTGTCTAAATGGGTCTCCTCGACTATTGCCCTATGTTACCCTCTTGCTGAGGTTTCCCTGCTGGCGGTCCCTAGGGCTCATTCAGTTAGGGCCGTTTCAACCTCTGCGGCCTTCATGGCAGGGGTACTGCTACATGACATTTGTGCGGCAGCCACTTGGGCGAGGCCATCAACCTTTACAACACATTATGTGATGGATATGAGGGCTAGAAGGGATGCTTGCTACGGTCAAGCAATCCTCCGATCTATTTTCTGCACATGACAAACCCTGTGGTTCTAAATTCTTCTGTTTGGTAGATTATACGTTCTGAGATATAGCAAGAGATAGGCCTGAACTTGTTCTTTGCATATTCACCAGCAAGTTTTGTATAGAAGCTACTTCCTACTGCTACTTACTATGTAAAATGTTATGAGGTTTGCATAATTTCTGATGTTCTGTTCCTCCCTTATGGGATACGGGTTTAAAATAAAAGGTTGACTGTTTAAGCACTCTGATGCCCTCTATTTATTGGTGGTGGTAGATGCCAGCGCCCGCCATCCTGCCGTTGGTTTAGCTTGCCAGTCACCCATGGTGTGTGGCCTGCACAGAGACCACGAAGAAGATAAACAGGTTGCTTACCTGTAACTGATGATCTTCGAGTGGTCATCTGTGCAGTCACACACACCCAGCCATCCCCACTGCTGGCATCATCTCTGGTTGGAAAGATGGCCTCGGGGTGGTCGGCGGTGTGGGAAGGAACTGAGTGGGGGCAGAGTCTGCCGGGGCTATTGAGCATGCTCAGATGGAGCGTGCTGCACGAGACTGTGGAGGACTCTGCACTTGGACAGCTGTCGCTAAAGCTTTTTAGGCTTCCCGACTGAGGTTTGACATAGGCGTAAAACCCATGGTGTGTGACTGCACAGATGACCACTCGAAGTTCATCAGTTACAGGTAAGCAACCTATTTTTCAGGAGAACAGCATCTGCATGCCATGCAAAACAAGTTCCACATTCAATCCCCCAGCACTCCAATTAAAGGACCAGTTAGTAGGTGACAGAAAGACCTCTCTTTGCCTAAGACCCTGGAGAGCACCTGCCAGTCAGAGTAGACAATACTGACCTTGCTAGACCAATGATCTAACCCAGTATAGGCAAATAATTAAGTCTATAGCACTTTCTGTTATACATTTCAAGGCTACAAACTTCAGGCTCTTCTATAATTCCCACACCCTTTTTTTTGTATTGAACGTTCAGACTGCTAAAGAATTTGGGGGAACATGAAAGTTTGCTTGCTATTTTGACAATGTATTTGGTCCTATAAATGCTGTAAGTAAATATATAAGTAAATAAATCCTGTGGTGGTTCTATGATAACTGCAAAACACAATACAGATCATAATTTGGTTCATTTTTTCATAGATTTGTTATTGATGGGTACCCTGTAACAAGAAAACAAATAAACACCTTAGAATATATGAAAATAATTCCAGTTAAAATCTTTGAGATGCAAATTGATGCAAAAGAAGTCTTCAGAAGAGCACTTCTGGATAAACAAAGCCCTGACAGGTAAAAATCCCGGCAAGGAGATGGCTCAGTAAATCTCTTAAAAGAATAGAATAGAATAGAATAGAATAGAATAGAATAGAATAGAATAGAATAGAATAGAATAGAATAGAATTCTTACTGTTTTTAAGGTTTCTACAGTACAACAGTTTTACAACAAATTATATCAAAGTTCTTCCCTTAAAATCTTTATTGTATTCTGTCTGCTGAATAAACTACTTAAAAGTCACTGATTCATCCCCATTTGTTCCACAAATCATGTTTCCTCCATCTGTGTTTGTTCTTGTGTGTCTTCCATGATAACAGTAGCCAGGGCTATTAGGCTCAAACTGTATGTTATGTGTAACACATGATAGCCATGGGGACTTGCAGCCATATAGCAGCTGCAAGTTCCCCATGAGGATTCAATTCTGAAGTGCTGCAGGGGCTCAATTCAAACAGGGACTGTAGTGAGGAGGAGGAGGAACTTCAGCATTCCCCGTGAATACGTTTGCTGATGTGCAACCTCCAGTGGGGCAAATAAATATTCCCATAGCTATTTGGGGTCATAAAAATGGCACCAGGGAAGAAGCTGAAATGGTTTTGATCCAAATCAGGTACCTGCAGCACTTCAGAACTGAGTTGCCATGAGTGACTCGCATCTGATATCCTGCTGCAAGTCCACATGGCAATCGTGTTACACATAGTGTGTTGTTTGGGCCTTAGACACTGTCGGCAGTGAATGCAACATGGAGGCCTGTAAGGAATTGCAGGATGTGAACTATTTGGAAATTCCACTTCACCCCTCAAACTGTCCCCCCACCATCTATAAACCCTGAGGAGCTTGACTAGGCTGATTTCCCTTCCCTTTAATTTCCTTTAACTGACTCCAACTGTTAAAAAAAAGTTTTGCCTTCTGGAGCACATTCAGTCCTCATTGGGTTGAGTGGGTTTTTGGTTTATAGTCAAATAATTCTTCGTTCCTGGAGAATACCATGAGTGTTGAGCATTCCCTACCTTGTCCATAAATGACCTAGTTTTGCAACTTTTATTACTGGCATTGTGGCTAGCTACCTCCTTATGAGATACAGAAATGAGCTGGAAGCTTCCCTCATGAGAAGAGGGAATAGTTCAGAAAGCCAGCACTCCTTCCAAAATCTATTTCTCCAAGGCCCAAACTCCACATACAAAAATTGCCATGGGTTTGGCAGGGTTTTTTCCTGGCCTGACTTATATTCCTCACAGCTGCCATCATGAGAAAATGTCTCCTGTAGTTTGGGACCATGATGCTTTAAACCAGGGGTGGCCAAACTGTGTCTGTGACTCAGGAGCCACATGCAGCTCTTTCACACATATTGTGCGGCTCCTGGCAGGGCAGCTGGGGAAGCTAAATATCATTAGCAAAAAAATATCATTGGACAAATAAATATCATTATCAATATCTGCTTTTACCACTTTTGTTATTATTTTTGTCAGTCTCATTTAATGTTAATAAAAAGCAAATCTGCATATTTTTCAATAAAAATGTGTGTGTAATATTTGTTCATGTCTTGCGGCTCTCAAACATCTGATGTTTATTCTATGTGGCTCTTATGTCAAGCAAGTTTGGCCATCCCTGCTTTAAACACTCAGGGCATGAGTAAGCTACTTTTCCCAGCACCTTCTTTCCTTTAACTGACTCTCAGCATCCCATGACTCTTGGAGCCTGTCTAATCATGCCATTGGGGAGGAGACTTTTGATTAATTTAGAAAGTCATGTTTTTCTACAAAACTGGGGATTCCTCTCAGTAAATATGAAGCACTTTCTTGTTTGTGGGTGGCCTGGTTTTGCTGCTACTGAAACTATTTATTAAAATACCCATAGCCTACTTCCATGCCCATCTATATATGACACTCAGTAGAACGTTTAGGAGACAACATATGTAAGCATTATATATTAATCCATTTATAATTGTCTTCTTAGACCTCCTTATCCAGTACATGACAGTTCTCAGATCCTTGCTATCAAGAATTCATGTTATAAAACACAAATTGAAGAAATCAGGGCTTACTATGAAGAGCAACACCAAAACTGGTATATGATTGATGCATCCCACAGCAAATGGTGGAACTGGAACAAAGTGCTTGAAGAAACACAGATGATCACTAAACAAATTCAGTTGTATCTGGAAAGAATCAGGCAAGGTAAGCAAAGAATCCTATTTTAAACTAATGGAGGTTTAATTATTGTATGATTTTGTATATTTCTAGATAGCGTGTCAACCATATCTTTTCCCCAGGGTGCTTCATAATACAATTTTAAACCAAAGGACATAAAATCATAACCATTACAACAATAAATTTGAGAAGTAATTCTCCGACCCCTGCCTTTGCCATAGCATATACCACCATAACAAACCCTCCATCAAAATCAAAGGCTTCCTGGACTAGAAAGATCTTTTTAAAACCAGTCTGGCAGGCTCTCAGGGATGTGGTCACTCTCAGCTCCAGTGGAAAGACATTCTGTAGGTGGGGATGGGAATAGAAAAGATCCTCAGTCAGGGTTTAGCTGTACCTCATTTAGTTGTATATACTATCCCCCCTCAGTCTGTCTTCAGAATGGGGGGCCAGTGTTCTGTAGAAGCAATGGGAAGATACACTGTTTTTAAAAATGTGGTGTGTTGTCAACATGAAATATTACTTTTTTCTCTACTATGAAGGGATGGGTACATAAGATTCTTGCCTTGTTGTCTTCGTTTTCTAACAAGCTGCATTTACTAATTGTATGGAAATATACTTACTTGCATAAGGAGTTTACAGTGTTTAAAGTCAGTGTCTCTGTACTTCTGGATACTCATCTGCAGCTTCTCCCCCCCTTCTTCTGAGGTACCTAGGCTTAAAACTACTCTTTAGTTCACCACAAGGACTTTGATTCAGACATACATTGCAAGTTTCCTGCTAGGAACTCAATTCCCAGGCACACAGGGGCCAAGTCAGATCAGGACCATGCACACAGGTAAAGGATGTTTAAGCCTCCCTTCTTCCCTTTGCTCAGTTTTCCTGACCCAGAACAGCTCAAGGTGTGTTATTGTTGGTGGCTCCATTTGCACTAATAGGGTTAGGGCTGCCAAGTCCCCCCGGAGGGGCAGGGATTCCCCTGCTAAAACAGCCCCCAATCCACCGGTCCAGGTCCAGTCGGTGGTGGGAACCCCACCCCCAAAGTGGCCAGATCGGGGCGACATCATCGCGGCGCATGCGCACTTTTGTAGTCCGGATGGTAACACTCCTTGTTTCTGGGGCAAGGAAAAAACTGAACTTTGGAACAGTAGGATACATAACCAGTTCCCTGGCCAAGGACTGACAGGAAGCCATTGGAGAGCACTAGTTTCATACAAGTGGTTGCAAATCATTGTTCTTTCCCTTTTTTCTATTCAAAGAGATGCTGAAGAAGTTTGTAGGAAGAACAATCCAAGATTATTTTGAAACTGAATTTGTGGGGGAGAGTATTTTGTCAAAATGTAGTTATACTTTTGTTGCCTCCGTATAAAGAATCCATTTAGTAAATGAAATGCTTTAGCAGGGAATGAAAGAGTATACTGCTGGTACAGCTGACTTGTAGAAAGCTTGTTAATAAATTATGTGTAGTAACTAATGATATTTTATCTGCTGTAAGTTTGTCTTCCAAATATTTACTGTCACAACTGAAACACAGCATATTGTGTCCAATCGTTAACAGGGAAAGCAGCAAGTATTGCTGATTTGTGTATCACACCACAAGAACTGCTTTCTCGATTGGGAGAGTTTGGACAATATTGTCCTGTCAGCCTTGCAGAAAAGGGAGAACTTGTTGATTGTTCTGTAACTCCTTCTCTGCGGTTTGCAGCAGAGTTTCGAGGGCATTACTACAAAATGTCTGGACAGGAAGAGCTGGACGTGAGTATCAGAGGAGGTAGAACACAGTAATTATTGATTTGGAAAGTAAACAGGCAGGGAGTGGTGGCACAGGGAATTTATCCTCTGGTTAAAACATCTGAGCTGAACAGAACTACTGTCAGTTCTAGCCCCGTGCTGGTGTGAGCTACCAGCCTTGTCCCCAGCTCGCCGTCCACCCAGCGGTTCAAAAGCTTCGGCGAGTAGATAAAATGGGTACCACTCCTTAGAGAGGGTGGGCACACTAAACCCCCAGGTGGGGGAGGTGTTAGCCGGCGAATGGAAGGTCCAGCGCATGAGATCGAAAAGCCTAGAAAGAACTCTTCGGCATCAAGAAAGCCTGTAATGGGCTGTCCGACCAGGCAGTGGCAGTGCTGCGCTGCAACTGAAGCAGTCCTGGAGAAAGTTGACGACATCAAGCCACGTCGAGGGAAAAATGCCGTTGGAGTATGTCTGACCTTACTGCTGAACAAACTCCCCGTCAGCTGCGAACGTGTGTGATTTAAAGATTTATATGTTGTCCTCCCTTACCCCTTTGAATCATTGTTAGTCCCGTGTGTATTTGAGTAACTGTAAATCGCTCAGAGCCAGCAGCTCTGCAGGATTGAGCAATTAATAAATTGAAATATTATTATTGTTGTTGTTGTTGTTGTTGTTGTTGTTATTATTACATTAGATATTCAGATATCATTAGAAAGTGTTTGTGAGCTAGGGAATTCCTAGAGATGGGGAAAAATGGCATTTGGGGAAAAACGGAAACATATGCAATAATTACTTTCCTATAAAACATAAAGTTGTTTTATTACTTTATCATCATGCATCACTTATAATTTAGCATATAAAATTGTACCAGTTGACATATTTATGGAATTTAAAACTACAACGGCCTTAGTTTTCTAGCGATAACATTTGGTATTTGAGAGAGTGCAGCAAACTGCTGCATCCTATGCTACTAGCACATGCATCTTAGGGCCAAACTGTGTTATATGTTTGATACAAATCAGGATGCCATACATGCCAGTGGGGAATTAACATTCCCAAGCATTTAGAGGCCCAACTGTTCTCAAGAGAAGAAGAAGAGTTGGTTTTTATACCCTGCTTTTCTCTACCTCAAGGAGTCTCAAAGTGAGCTTCCGGTACAGTGCAGTGAGTGAGCGGGCATTCTTCAATACTCCCGAATTGCCCGCTCCCCTCTTTGCTCCTTTGATGCCTTCCCTGCTCACCGGGGGCATCGCCCAACCTCCTGGAGGGAGGTGGGTTAGCAGGAGGCTTCACTCAGTCACCTCCTGCACCTGGCAAGTGTGGGGGTGAGCCGTTTTTTGCCTTGAAGCAGGAGTGACCGAGGGAAAGAAACATGACTCCCATGTTTTTCTTTAGCTTCGACCAGCCATTTTAAAGAGTGTTTCGTTTATGGGGTTTTTTTCCTTTGATTCGTCTTGCAACAAAAGAAACTTGTGAGTACACAATTGCTCTCTTTACAATCTGTGATGACCCTCATTAAATGACCCCCACAAGATTAGCTCAAAGTTTTGAAACGTATAAGCAGCCATGGAAAGGAACGGAGCAAGTGATAAGGAAATGGTGTTAATTGGAGAAAAGGAAGACTCAGCAGAAGAAACAATATTAATTAACTTAGAAAACAGTGAACTTGGATATATAACCTTGGACCAATTTAAAGAAATTCTATCTAACGAGGTGCGTCTCTAAATAAAGACCTAGAATTGGAAAGCAAACAGAAACCAGAGCTGGAAGAGAAGGAGGAGCCCCCACAATGTCAGCGTTCTGTGATTTCAGAGAAAGAACAAGGAGACTGCCAAGCTAAAAAAGCACAAGACTCATTTTGTATGGAGACGGAAAAGAAACGCTCCCAGATAAAAAGTCGAGTAAAGTATTTTGCAAAGTGAGCCAAGACAGTAGGACTTACAGAAGGAAATGCCTGAAAGCAACTTAATGCAGTTACGAAGAAATGTAGTAAAAAGAAAATGAGACAGTTTTCAAAGAAAAGGACTAATGGCTGCAAAGCACATGTGCCAGATCTGATTAAACAGGAAAAACAAGGCCCCCTGCCACACGGCAGGGAAAAGAAACGCCCCGGCGGGATCCCACGGATCCCGGTTGCTGCGCTCCGTTGCTCCCCGGCACAATCAGATGCCGGGGAGGAAGACACTAGTCGGAGGGGGAGGCTGCCGTACTGCGCATGCTCGAGCAGAGGGCCGGGGATGCGATGGCGGCAAGACATGCCGCCGATCCCACAGCCAGGATGAAGCGCCTCAACCAGATGAACCACCGAAGTAGGAGGAGGGCGGGGAGGGCGGAGTATAAATCAAATAAAATAAATAAATAATAATAATAATCTTTGACGCGCTTCATCAGGGGAAGGGCCGGGTTGGAGGTGGGAGCGCGACGCCAGGCAGATGTTGCCGTGGGATCGCGCCCGTCTGATGCGCCTCCAATCTGGCCCGCTCCCGGCCCAAACTGCCTCATATGAACGGGGCCTAAGTTTGCCAATAAAACCAGGCCAGTTCTAATTTATTCATTGTCCCTCAAGGATTATAATTAGAGAGATGGAAGTGTCCATATAAATAACGTTGCAGTTCTAGCACTATTTATCCAAATTACCTGGATTATCCAAAATGGGATTAAGAGGTGATTTGAAAAACCATGCTGGTGACACACAATATATATTTTTGTTAGCATAATACAAAGAAACTAAGTACTGTAAGAAAGATTGTGGTAGTCTATTAATAACTTTTACCTGGAAAAAAAGAAAGTGAGTGGCAAAAATTAATTTATATCTGACTCTAGATCATTAATTTTGAATATCTGATTTTTGGGGCTAATTATATGCTTGGATACTCCCCAGTAAATGGTTATATACACCTGAGTTATTTTAAATTTTTTATCTCTAATGTTGTTTACAGGGGTTATTTTTGCCATTATAAAGAAATGAAAACAGGGTTGCCATCTGTATTATGTGGTAGCATAATTCTTTTTCTTTTTTAATACACCGAATGAAACATGGATGGTGTTAAAGGATGGAAATGAAAGTACTGGACTAAGGCATTTTGATTTATTTTGGAATGATAATAAGAATTTTAGACCTCTGGGCAGTTTAATGGTTAAGCACTTTTGGGTTATCTTCAAAGCTTATTTCTGTTGTTGCTTAAAAGGAGTATTTTTGTTAGCATAATACAAAGAAACTAAGTACTGTAAGGATTGGGGTAGTCTACTAATAACTTTTACCTGAAAAAAAGAAAGTGAGTGGTAAAAATTAATTTATATCTGACTCTAGATCATTAATTTTGAATATCTGATTTTTGGGGCTAATTATATGCTTGGATACTCCCCAGTAAATGGTTATACACATCTGATTTATTCTTAAAATTTTATTTCTAATGTTGTTTACAGGGGTTATTTTTGCCATTATATTGTAAAGAAATGAAATAGGACTAAAGTTGTGAACATTAATTTGTTGTTAGAATATAATATATAAAATATACGGTTAAGATTGGAAAATAAGGCCATGGACCTGTTGGGGTCTGGTTAAGCATTCGGAAAACTTTTGCCGAGAAGATTACTGGAGAGCTCAGCTGTTGCTGATATCTGTTGAATTAAATAAAAGAAGATAATATGATAGGTAATTACTTAAAATGTAAGTCTGAGAACCTTTATATTTTGGGCTGAAAAATAGATTGATGGATTAGAAGAAATATGCGTTGATTCATAGTGGAAAAATACATAAGATATGAAGAAATCTCTTAAGTTTGATTGTTGCAATGGTGTTGAAAAATGTAATCTTTGGTTGGGTGTTTGTTTGTTTATGTTTGTTTTGTCTTTAAAATTCAATAAAGAAATTATTTTTTTTTTAAAAAAGGAGTCTCAAAGCGGCTTGTAATCTCCTTCCCTTCCTCTCCCCACGACAGGCACCTTGTGAGGTAGGTAGGATGAAGAGAGTTCTGAGAGAACTGTGACTATCCCAAGGTCACCCAGCAGGCTCACTGTGGAGGAGTAGGGGATCAAACCTGGTTCTCCAGATTAGAGTCTATCGCCAGTTTGGTGTAGTGGTTAAGTGTGCGGACTCTAATCTGGGAGACCCGGGTTTGATTCCCTACTCCTCCACTTGCACCTGGCTGGATGACCTTGGGCAAGCCGTAGTTGTGATAATAGCTGTTCTTGAAAAAGAGCAGTTTCTGTCAAGAGCTCTCTCAGCCCCACCTACCTCACAGGGTGTCTGTTGTGGGGAGGGGAAGGGAATGGAGTTTGTAAGCCACTCTGAGACACCTTTGGTTAATGAAGGGCAGGGTATAAATCCAAATTCGTCTTCTTCTTCTTTTAACCTCTACACCACACTGGCATGACGTGGGAAAAGGAAAGGCTTTGGCCTTCCCTCCAGTGCCATTTTCCCAAGTTGAAACAGTCATGGGGGGCAGTTTGCCCAATTGTGATGCATCATGTACTGCAATCAGTACTCATGCAGCCCACAGCAGGGCAAACACCTCCCACACACATACACACACGCCATTTATGTTCAGGAAAACTGTATAGTAGGGGAGGCTAAAACGCCTCCCCTCCACACCACATTCACAAGCCAAATTGGGCCCGACATGCATTTTTAAGAGCAGTAATATTAAAGGAATTGTTTTACTATGATATTTCAGTGAATACACAATTGTGGATTGTTCTGAAGCAGATTCTGTAGTGAGAGTTGCTTGAAAATGATCCCAGTTGAAATAAAATTGCATTTTAAATTTTAACATTTCCCTTCCAAACATCCATATTCGTATGTTTAAAAAGTAGTGACTAAAGATTATTTTTGAGGAAGTATGGTGATATGCAAGCACCAGCCTTTGCCGAGGTTAGCCATCTGTGCTCTCTCATTATTTCCCTGTCAGCAGAATCTTTCTGGAACCTGAAAATGTCACCCTTATTATGCTGCACTCTTCTTTTGCTAAGTAATTACACCCAGTTCTCTGAACAAAGACTTTCTGACTTGGAATTGGGACAGATCTGCTCAGGATAGCACTGTAGAATAATCTACATTCTGGAGAGCATCTAACACACAACTAGTGCTAAATGTTAAACAGCAATAATGTTTAAGAAGAGAATAACAATTCCTGGAAAAATTAATTTCACAAGCATTTTGTTCATCAGTTAAAATATGATATGCTGCTGCATTTTCTTATGTCTGACTTCTTGTTAATGCAGAAATTCCTGAAGACACCAGAATTATATGTGCCTCCATTAGCACCTCACCCTCTTCCTCTCCCAAGTAAACTGCCAAAGAAACTGACCGCAGCAGAAGTGAAGGCCTTATTCCCCATGCAAGCTGAAATGCAAGGGTACTGTCCAGTCACTTATCTAGAAGGGAAGCAAAGGTAAATACCGACATCTTGCAGGACATCTAAAAAATTATTTATTTTCCAAACAAGACAAAGTGAGGCAGTGTTCTGATGCAGATTTTAAACTGGATGATAACTGTATAGGATTTTGTATTCATATAATTTTGTAAATTGTGGACTTTTTGAATAACCCTGTTTGAAGTATTCTTTAGATCCAATGTATATATAATGGCTTTCTTTTCCCATCTGTTCTGAGGTATGAAGCACTGGTACCTGGTGACATTGAATATGCTGTTCTATATTGCAAAAAGCTATACATTTTTGAAAGTGAAGAAAAACTTCAGAAGTTTATGAGGTACCAAATGCATTAACATTGTTTTTACCTAACTATTATTCAGTGTTTGTTTTGATCAACCACAACTTCTTTGTCCTTAGACTACCAGAAAAATACTGGAAGCAGACACTGCCACATAAACTTCCTCCCAAAAAGGAGCCAGTGTTGCTGACAGCTCTTCCCTTGACAGGATATCTTGAACAGGTTAATTTTTTTCAGTAATTATGTTCATATTAAATTAACTTTCAGGGACAAATTGACTATGCTGTCTCCCGCCCCCAGTTACTCTCTGAACAGCTCTCATCCCTAATCCCCAAATTGGACTCTGGACTAACTAATGGAAAGAGAATGCACAGCATTTGTTCTTTGGTTAATAATGCAATAGATCTTTATCACCATTAAAGATAGCCAATGCTTTCTATACTTTTTCTTAAGTAGATGGATAAAGAAAAACACTATAGCATGTCACTTAAAAAATATGCAAGTTACTAAACAGTTACGGATTTCCATAACAATGGCTGATTCTCATCACAGACTCTTCCAGTCCCTGGAATCAGCAATTCACGAGACAAGTTGATTAAGCTTGATGAGGTGGGTAGCCATGTTGGTCTGAAGCAACAGAACAACGTTCGAGTTCAGTGGCGCCTTTAAAGGTGCCACTGAACTTGAATTTTGTTCTACAATATATGCGTGTAGGATCTAATAACGTAGTAAAATAAGGATACTGTTAGCCAAACTGCTTTATCTACAGCAGATGGCAAACTAAATTTAATATGGGTTCCTGCCAAAGTTTACGGAGGTCCAGTCCACCCCAAGAATGTCCCAGTGAGAGAGACGAGACTGGTGAATTCAACACAATTTGTCTTTTACTGAAGAATATCAAAATCACATTCAAACAATACAGATATACACACACATAAAATCAAGTTCCTTAGGAGTACAGAAATAGAAAAATAGTTCCTTTTTCCTTAGGAGGTAGGTGGGTATCATTCATACTTATCTGTTCCTGGAGCCTTGTCTGTTGCAATTAAGAATTGAGGGTAAGGAAGTAGAACCTAGGAGTTTTTCTAAGTCACACTGCCAGAACCAGCCGGCAAGTATGGACCTCCTTGGCTGCGCACGCCAAGAGATCAAGAATAGACAAAAAGGGTTGTTGGATAGCAAGCTGGGCATTAGGGGGTAAAAGCAGACAGAGGATGATGAAGGGTTTGCGGCTAGCAAAAGACCCATCACATGGTCCCTGAGTTTTATAGGCAAATATTCGGTTGGATGGCAACCTTGCCAAGCTGGAAACCCACCTACCTGTAAGCCCGTCCCATTACTACAACTATTGGTGCGTGTAGTAAGGGCATCTACTTTAGGGGTTTGGTCAATATTTGAAATTCTAAACTCTAATTCATGGACAAGCCATCTGGTTAGGTGTGAAAGCTGGGCGTCAGGATCTTCCTTGATGTGCAGATAGATCTTGGCTTTCCCAGTCAATCAAAGCAACATCTGCCAGGAAATGGCAATTCAGATGTAGATCAGATCCGTGTATTGCGTGACATCAAGTCCTCTAGTAATGGGGGATTGCTTGTCTTTAAGCTGTGGTTTCTGCTAACAATGGCGAAATGTGCTTCTCTTCCCCTAAGGCTAGGAGCTGTATGTGTTTGCAAGCTTCATTAACATGAAATGCAGGCAGGTACCTTCTATGTGAAACCTCTCACAACAGGTGATTTAAATAGCATTCCCTAAGCCTAGGGTGTATGTGTATGCACAGTCCATGTGGTGTGTCAGCAGATATAACTCCATAAAAAGCAAATATCAGTCTCTTTCTCAACAATACAAAACCATATACAATTAATAGTAACATTTTTAAAAAGTTTAAACTTTGCGAATCTCTTTGGATATTCTCTAATCTGGAAGAAGGTGTTGCGCAAATTGCCAGGGTCTGTGGCTGTTCAACATGCAAATCAGTGATAGGAGTAGGTATGCGGACCAAATTTTAAAGTGATACACAAAAAGGAGAACCCTGAAAACATTACAGAGGATAATGTGAAAGACCAAGATGTTTGTGAACATACACTGAGCAGTGAAGGCTACAAACAGAAACCATATTTAAGGAGCAATCAATTTATATTGCTACACTAACATCAATATTATTTTATCTCTACAGGGGGTAGCAACTGCCCTGATAAAAGCAATGAATGAAGTAGGCTGTTTGAAGCCAAAATTCCCATTCCTAAGTGTGAAAAAATCTGCACTCCTGTTCATAGCCTATCATTTGAAAGGTACAGTAGAATGTATTAACTGTTCATTTTTCTCTTTATCATACATTATCTTACTGTAACTCTGACAAAATAATAGCTTTCCAGCACCTCTATTCTAAATACATTTTCTTGGCAATAATTTACTATTATTTCAATTGAGCTTTTCTTCCAAGTGGTCAAAATTGCAAGCCTTTTTAATGGTAGAGCAATGGGGGCATGTCTGACTAATGCAAATGGCAGGCCAACAGCATGCTTAGGATCACAGACTTGATTTGTCACTTAGAGCTTGCAGTTTTGTCTACAATAGAGAAACATTCCTAACTGACTTAGCCAGTCCAATTTTCTGAAAGGGGCTCTCTGCCAGTGGTACCAGAGCTACAATAGGATACCTGTAGTGATGTTTGGGTTATAGATGTGGCCATAAACTATTTAACTTCATAAACCGGCACTTCACTGGCAGCATGCAGCCTTCTCTCTCCAGCTTTTAATCAGTTTGGTGTAGTGGTTAAGTGTGCGGACTCTAATCTGGGAGAAGCGGCTTTGATCCCCCACTCCTCCACTTGCACCTGCTGATGTGACCTTGGGTCAGTCACAAACTCTGGCACAGCTGTCCTTGAAAAAGAGCAGTTTGTGTCAGAGTTCTCTCAGCCCCACCCACCTGTTGTGGGGAGGGGAAGGGAAAGGAGTTTGTAAGCCGCTCTGAGAATCCAAGTGAAGGGTGGGGTATAAAATCCAATCTCTTCTTCTTCTCTTCTTCTTCTTAATCAGTAACCTGACCTTTTCTTAGTTCAAAACATTTCAGTTCTGAAACCAGCTGGCAGCTAAAAATTGATCTCTTCAAAACAAAATTAGTAGACCCTATGTGAATTCAAGATCACAGCAAGAAGTAGCACTAGCCATAGACTGTTTTCAAACTTCCTACCCTCCAGAAATTGTTTCTAAAGTAATTATCTCCTGGTGGAAAAATCAGTTCATATATTCTATGGAATCCCTGTGAGTCGTAGAGGAGGCTGGAGTACATTCTAAGATGCACTATGTTCATTCATCTGGTTGGGTGGTGCTGCACCACACAAACTTAATATACCCTTTACAAAGCATCTAACACTCCATTGCGGTTGTACAGTTGGGAAACGACTGGTAATGACAAACACATCCATTACTCATGTTCTCATCTGAGGTTCCCTGATGTACCTCAGAGTTCCTGTGAACACAGTTTGAAAACTGCTGCTCTACAAGTATGAACTAACACTTTTTCAAGTTATTCAGGCTAAAACTGCATATGATGGTGGCAAAGTGACATCTTAAACCAGATGCTCTAAGTTAGAGACCCAAACAAAATATGAAAGTAAAATGAGAACCAGCATGGTGTAGTGGCTAGAGTGGTATACTAGGATTTGGGGTACTCAGATTTTAATCCCCACTCTGCCATAGAAGCTTGCTGGGTGACCTTGGGCCTGTCAGATGTTCCCAGCATAACCTACCTCACAAGGTTGTTGTGAGAATAAAATGGAGGAGGAGAACAGTGTTAGCTTGTTCGGATCCTATTGGGGAGAAAAGTGGGATATAAAATAATTGAACAAATAATAATGTAGTAGACCCACATCTTCATCTTAGGTCTACCTACAAACATTCAAGATGCAAAAGAGTACACGGGCAGGGAAGCAGATGCTAAACCTGCTCCCTAGTCTTATTCCTGCAATTATGTCCTCAGGCCACTTTTCTTCCTGCAACACCGGAACCAACTGTGGAAATAAGACAGTCAGAAAGTGATTAGAAGGAGGTGCCATGGGAGAAGTTCCATTGTTCAATACCTACATGCTCCTTTGGACCTTGACATTGCATTCATACTACTCCATTTTACATATGAATGGGGACAGTTCACATTACAGATGTTTGGGCCTCAACCTATACTAACATAACTGGTTTAAGCAATGTAGCCAAAATCTGAAATTCTAGCCAAAGGTAATGCCACTATCATCACAATCACAAATACAAATCTCATATGAGGAAATAATTGGCAGTTAGTACAAATTATTATACAACATGTCTTTAGAGGTCATGATGTGAGCAACAGGCATCATGAACTGCAGGTGACAAAGGATAATTAATATTATTTTGTTTCCTATAGCCTTTAACCCCAGAAGCTCTGACTATGTACGAAAGAAGTACAAGAGGAAATTGGACCGGTTTATAGACAACTGTGAACTTATCCCATACTTGGGAACCAAAATGACAAAGAAATATAAAGAGCCTCAAAATCGACCAATTGATTTTGATCACAAATTACAGACATTTTTGTCTCTCAAAGGTGTGGATCCAGCTACTCTTTAGTTTGGAACATTGCACAACAATAAAAAGTCAGACAGTCAAATCTGAATGTGAAATTCGGAGTAGACTAACTTCTTAGTGAGCAGACTACAAAAGCCAGTAGAAGATGAGCTGCTGACCAGGCTATCAGTTAGGCCTTTCCCAGCCAATGTGGCGAAGACTGTGTGCTGTGTCTGTTCCATGCATTTTAAATGGGATAGTTTGCCAACTCTTGCTGTCAGTTCTGCAAGATTCTACTTCATCCTAAACAATCTTTCCTTGGGAAATAAGTTGCACTGATTTCAGAGGACTACTTTTAATTAAATGTTAATAAGTGGAGCATACTGCTTTAGCCATCACTAAAAGAATACATATATAATCTTTTAAAAATGTTTTCAAGTGATCACTAAATCTGACTTTTTCAATCTGTATTGTTGCTACGCATTTAGTTATTATGTAGCATTTAATGGAATGCTTTCTTGATACTCACTTGTTCCTTTCACAGTTTGTGAAATAAAATTTACCTTCATTTCTTGAAATAAAACAAGATCCAGCCTATAACTATTGTTTTTTTCTTCAAAACTCTTCTAACCAGCAATGGATAAATGTCTTATATTGTATTCCTGCACATTGTTATGTTGTCATCTCCACTTGTATAATCTCTTCAGAATCACAGGCCACCACACATTACAGATTTTAGAAGTACATCACATTTAACATTGCTATATCACCTTTGTGCAAATCTAATGAGTGTACTTACTTGCATTTCCCTACCATGTATGCATATGATGTATGTTGCAGCACACAGAGGCACTTCAAGCATGTTCTACTCACTCAAGATGTCTATTTGCATGCTTTCTATCTGTCTTGCATTGCCTTTCTCTCATATCAGCAGGCAGCCATGTTTCGCACGTTGCAAATATGGTGACCTCTTTTTCACTCAGATGGTAAACCAGCCTGGATCTGAACTATACCACCATGGCAAAGAAGGGGCAGTCAGCTGATGCGGTTGGCAGCCACTGCAAGCTGCGCCTTGGTGGCAATACAGCAGCCTGTTAGCCGAATTGCTCTTTAGGAGAGACAATTGGAACAGTTTAATAATCGGGATTCAGATCAAGTGTATACGCAGGATGGGCTAAGCCGTTACGTTTTAATGAAGAGACAAGGCAGAAGTTAAAACAAATCTTTCTTTACTGAATATGTTGTTCAAGCACACAAGAATAATAATAAAAAGCACACAGGCATACAAGGACTAAGAAAACAAGTTAGATCAGTTTATGGCTTGGTTGCTTTAGCAGGAAAATTGTTGGTTTCTTGATGATATATTTACCTTTGTTGTATGCGTAGCTCCTATACCTTCCAGCAAGAGGTGGAATGGGGTAGAAAGCGTATACTTGAGGGGGGGGGACAGACATATAGAGGTAGGAGAAGGGGGTGAGGGGAAGGGGGTGAGGGGAAGGGGGTAAGAGAGAGAGAGCGGTCTCTCTCTGTGTTCTAAGTTTTAAAGCTGCTTGCGAGCAAAAGGGGGTGGGCTCTGGCGGCTTACCAGGTGGCTCTACCCCAAGGGTCAGGGATTGGCTATGGGGTCAATTTCCAATCTATTGATTAACTTGATGGGAGGTGTCTGGGCGGAGGCAGGAGGTACGTGCCAGGTCACCAGTAGCGCTGACGTGGCTGTTGCTATGTGTAATGGACTTCTATTGTTGGTCTGGCACGGGAGGACTTCTATTGTTAAGCTTGTCAGGTGGAGACATTCGGTCTGGGCTAGGCTTGAAAGGCTTGATGAGCTTCGGGGTGGTGATCAACCTTAATGTTTGCATACATAAAGAGCTTAACGAGTCCGGAGAACTTGCTGGCTAGGTGATGATCATCCTATGCAGCTGGCATTGTCTTTGCTTGTCCCCTGGTTGAACCCCCGTGCTTCACAGTCTTCACAGTCTTCACTAGCCCGCTCTGTGTCAAGCTTATGTTCATAAGCATAACTCATAACATAGTCCAAAATGGATGCCTCTGGTAACATTTCCCCCCCTTTTAGGACATATCGACGTCAGGAGAGATGGTCCTCACATACACATAGACTTACACCGGGTCTTCTGGAATGATTGCAGTCATCTGGTACCGGTAGCTGTCATCAGGCACGCCATGTTGTCATCTGGAGTTCCCACCCCGCATCCAGAACACCCTATCTACACTAATTGAGGGAGGGTGTGTGCGTGTATGGAGAACTAACCTATGCCAAATTGGTTTTGGCTGGAAGTGGCTTATGCATACACCAGAGGTAAATACGTAAAGATTTAAAATCAATGTGCAATAAGATATACTTTGGTGCAATCAAGCGTCATAGCAGTTCGAAAATGATTGTGCTTTTTACAAAAGTTACATTTACTAATACTTAGAGCAAAGACGCATGCAATAATTTTTATTTATACAGCAAAGAAACAAATTAACTTTAAATGGAGTTCTTCGTATATCTGGAACGAGAGAAGAACAATCAACAAGCATATAAAAACTTAAAACATCAAGGCTTTTCCTGGGCAACCTCTGCGCTGCTGAAAGCAGTTGAGCACATTTTCAAACAAGTCCTGAATCACAGAAAGGTTTGGTTTTCAGATTGCCCAGAAAAGTATAGCACCGATAAAAGGCTGAGTAGACATATATACAATATATAAAACAAGTTTCATAGGTGTGAGCTTTTGTTTTCTCTCCCAGGAAGCGATCTGGCAGTGCTCCGGGGGCGGGCGGGAGATCCGCTGGATAGTATCTTGGGTTTGAGGGAAGGGCTGGGGCGATTAAGGTTCTTTGGAGTCTTGGGATCCTTTGGATGGCTCCGGGGCTTAAATGAGAACACACGATTAGTTAAGAAATTTAACGATCAGGTTCGGCAAGGCTCGAGGTTGCCAGCCGAAAGAGAGAGGGAGACCTGCATAACCACCCCCCTTTGAGTCCAGAGCACTCTGGGTACTTGGTATCTGAGTCCCTGTAACTTAAATCAATAACGCTGGAATGACTGGGTCTTCGTGGACTCTTCTGCCTATCTTCTAAGGAGACATGATCGCTGCAGAGCAACAACAACAACAACAACACGCACATAAAAGCAATGGAAGACATCCTTATAAACTAATGACATAAAGGCAATTAATTAAATACAGAAAGCAAAAACTGGTGGGTTAAGCAGACTTAAAGCAATGCAAAGGTGAGAATGAATGTGAATGCGAACATGATTAAACATAATGGAATATGAATACAGGGGGGGAAATGTGGGTTAGAAATATTGGTACATTTTTGAAAACACCCCCCCTAGGTACACAGGTTGACTGAAGGCACAGGCAGTCTGAGCCTTGTTGTGGAGGTTTCATGCTGGCAGGGACCAAAAGCAACTCAGGGGTCCCAAACTGATGACTGAGTGAGTGCTGCGAACTCAGGGGTCCCAAACTGATGACTGAGTGAATGCTGCGAAGCATTTGCAGCTGGCTGCGAAAGGCAGGTTGCAGGATGGTGAGGGTTTTAGTAACTTTGAACTTGAAATGCAGTTGGAGATGGGCAGGTGAAGAAATGCAGTTGCCTGCCCTTGAGATGGCACCCAACGTCCATAAGATGGCTTGCAAGCAATTTGCAGGTCAACAGTGGCTGGAGGCCGCTGGTAAATTGGCAGGTCTTTTGCTGAAGCTGGAGCAAAGGCTTTAAATTGGGAGGCAACTTGGGTGCGTAGAACAATGGCTTTGGCAAGACCACCAGATCTTGTAGGCTGAACAGAAAACTTGGAAAGTCCTTGATGCATCCATAGTGGAGAGACGGCTAGAGTGGAGTACTGGGTGAAGATGTGCACAATTTGAAGGCGCCAAAAAGTTATAAAGAAAAGAAAAAGTGGCCAAACAGAAAAAAAATTCCAAAAAGGGAAGCTGAATTGCCATGGCTGTTGTAGAAAAAGTTGGGGGCCCCCCGGGGAAACTGCCGGCTTGTGGGGGTGGGTAACACTCCTAAAACACAGGTTACAAAAGCTGAAAAGCAATAATTATTAACATATACAACAAACAATCCTTAAAATAATGTAGAAGGTGCCTTTATTAGGCATAAGACTTCCATTGCAGGGTCAGAGTTTGAGTTCCTGCAGATAGAAAAGAACTTGAGAGGAAGGTTAAACAGTTCTCTGTGCATGCACAGAGTGTAAACGAACCAAAGATAAAATGAGTAGCAGAGGTATTTCATCAAATAGCTGGATTATAGACTGGATTAAAAATCCAAAAAGAAGAAGAGGCAGTAGCCCTTTATAACGCTCACAGGATGCTATATATCTTAAGAAGTCAGGCAAAAAGATCACAACATAAAGAAAAATATTGTATTAGAGGGAGGAACGAAGAGAAAAAAAGAAAAGAAAATGGAAACATAATGTTAAAATGTTAAAGATTTCTGTAGTGGACCTTAAAATAAATTAAAAAGAAATGCTCTGAACTTTGGAATGGAGGGGGGGAAGAGAGTGACTTCCCTTAATCAGCATTACAAATTCAAGAGGAAGCTAAAAGACATGTAAATAACTTGACATTCTCCTTTACTAAAGACTGGTTTCAAGCTATAGTTTTGGATGGGGGGAAGGGGAAGAGGAACCTTCCTTTATAATGCATAGCATATTTGAGAGGGGGTATCATTCCTCCTGAAGCACTCTAAAACAAAGTTTCTTACAATGGGATAGGGTTGCCAGCTCCAGCCCAGGAAATACCTGTAGCTCTGGAGGTTGAAGTCAGGGACAACAAGGCCTGCAGTCCACTGTATAGAGGATGCACTGTCTCTGGGGACACTGACTTCAGTATTCTGGAGAAATGCTGTAAGTCCAGGGGGTCTCCAGGTGGCAACTGGGGATTGACATTCCTACAATAGCAGTTGTACTTTAGTTTTTCAGGGAGTCTTTATGCTTACTTTTTCCTCAGTGTAGAGGCCTTCCAGACAGATTGCCTCTGTCTGAGGAGACTTTTACAGATTAAAAAAAAAAACAGAAAACAAACAGAAAAATTCAAAATAAAGGAAAACTT